TTACAATTTTGATTGGCTAAACTAAACATGCATGATCGGGATCATCATTTCTTTATTTGGGACGGTCCTACCTGTATATAATCATAGCTTTGGAATATTCTTACATTAAAGCAAGTGCGTGTTAATAATCTAATAAGAAATGTTAATTAAATTTTCCTAACAGAAGATTTTGTAAACGTAAAAATAACCAAATTAAGTAGCTTGTTTATAAATGATACGTAATTACTCATTTTTATTGTAAAAACTGCTATTTGTACATGCATAAATTGTTTATAACAATGGCCCCTTTCAGCGGGTTCAGACTCTTTTCATTAGTATATCTATATTTATCCTAATATAGTAACGATTTGCTATCACAAGAGTGCACAAAAATGAATTCTGGGCCACGAGTACGAATTCTGGAAAGTTACGATAAAAAAATTTCAACATAACAAAGTAATTCGGTAAATGACGAGGTAATTCGGAAGTTAGTTGAGAGGTATGTTTAAGGCGTTTCAGTTTAACCAATATAGTCTATAATGTATTAAACTTGGTAAATATAATAGTCATTTCAAAAGATTTACAACGCTATTTTATTTGTAACTTATTTTTCTAGAAGACACGTACTGCAGTCAAAAGATTAGTGATATGAAGCAATGAAACATGAACTTGTAAACTTTATGGGAGGTTAAATATAGTTTTATGTCTATTATTAAAGCATAGCGTAACGTCCAAGATTATTACTTTAGAAACATATATGATTAAATTCGTTTGGCATTAATTAACTGTTATTATGTACAATTAAAAAATTTTTTATATGGTTTTTATTGTCTCTTAAAATACTGTAATTGGTTCTTGTTTTTTTATTTGTTTTTTTGTGCTTTTTATATTTTTTTTTTGTATATTAGTATTTTTTTTTTTTTTTTTTGATAAGATCTTAGATTTTGTTTGTATTGGGACGATGTTTTAGACTTTGAGTTGTTAGATTTCGAGTAATGTATTCATTAACGCCAATGTTTTTGTATGGTATTAATAAATATATATTCAATTATTTTTAATTACAGAATTATATAGATTCATATAAAACATTTGTCTTGCGAATAGTTTCGATTAACCAATGATATTTTTACAATATCACGAGATGATCTACAAAAATCAGCCAATTACAATGAAAGCCCGCTATGCTTCCCTGAACTGGATTATAAGTGATCCTGACGTCATAGGCAGACTTTCGTATGATTGGTTAATTTTTGTAGATCTACCCGTGAATTCCCGTGATAATTAGCCAATCAAAATTGATAATTTTTAAAAAGATTTATCGTTTTAATACTCTAGAAAACGAAAAGAACTTCACATAAAGAAGCCTAAAACTAATAAATGCATGCAAAAAAGAATTTATCACATTTCAGAAATAGATAGATAACGCGTAACTTGATATTTATTACTAACGTAACTTGATATTTATTACTAATAAACCCAAGTTCAAATTGATTAAAATTCAATATGCGAATAAATTATTAACGAAGCTATCTCTTATTCTTTATTTATTACATTTTGAAAAGTAATTAAAATAATTCTATCTTATTTTTAGTTATCACGATCTTTATTAAAGACACGACATAACCCCTAGCCCATATAATTAATGAAGCAATAACACTTATACATATTATCGACTTGCTACTTAACCCATCCAAAGTTACATTTACTACTCTAGTAGCATAATTCTATAAACGTAAAATATACAGTAAACATTAGTACAAGCTTCTTATTATTATAATATATAACATATCAAACAGTACACTCAAAGTTCTAAGTTTAAAGCTTACATGTAACGTCCCAATCTTCTTTTTTTATTGACCGTTTTTGGCATTTAAAACTTACATATAGTTAATACAACTAGTACTAGCAGTATATAGTAAAAATATTCGCCCCTAAGTAAAGTTTTTGTAGAAGTGGATTATTTTGGATTAATTTTAACAGTGAATATTTACGTTCGTTTAGAGCTAGAATTCGCTTTTACGGCGATTTTTTTGTTAGTGAAACGTTACGTTTCCGAAAAGTACTTTAAAGTGTATAAATAAGTTACCCGGGCAATTGATTTACATCAGCCAATCAAACGAATGTCCGCCTATGAATCCTGACGCGTTTAAAATGTAGATCTTCATAATTGATTGTGATTAGTTTTTTTTTTTCAATTTCGATTTTGATACTGATATGAATAAGAAACATAATTTAAGGAATCGTATTGTATTTTCAGAAATTTCAACCAATATCTCCATTAATAGGAATGATATTCGTAATTTCTTTCCCACTTATAACCCAACCGTTGCTGAATCATTGGAAAAATTTTTTCAAACATATAATCCTCGACTAGTAACTCAACTCGACTTTTATATTTGGCGTGTGTGTAATAACTTGGAGGTCGAATTTTTTGGCAAAGATTACACTTTATTTGCCAATGGAATAAATAGGGTACGTCAACAAGAAAAGTGGACAAATGAGGATATAAAAGCCAGTAAAGAGGTAATTATTTAATAATTATATACGTACATTTTGCCTATGATTAGATCTTTAGATGTAACCTTATTGCAACATGAAATAATTCTATCGCTCGGTTACTAATCATCGCTCAGATATGATGTGGATACTTGATAGATCAATTCGTTTGTTACCATGACAGACACATTATTTTGTGGTCGCTCATGGTCTGTTGCAAATTTTATTTGTAGCACAAATTATATCTATCGCTTTTGTTTAATCTCATTATGTATTGTTTTGGTCATGATTTTGCCTGACGGAAGATTATTTCACATATTATCATGACGGACACATATGCGCCTCTGGTATCTGGCTATACTAATACTATATGGTATATCCAAGGCATGCTTGTGGTCGCTCATGATCTTTGCTAAGGTGTTATGAGTTGTTACGCTAGAAATTTACCTAAAGTTATCTTGCTTGAACAGTACTAATAATGTTTTATACTATTTATAACTTATTTAAGGCAATTTGTAGATGTGACATTAAGCCTTTTTTTAATTTGCTACAAAAGAATCCACGTGGATTTGTTAAATGGTGTGAACAAGAACTCGCAACGACATTAGAAAAAAAGAAGCTTCATCCAAATATAAGTGACGAGATAGTTGGCGGCGATATTCATCATAGAAACGTATTCAAAAAATATGTTTTCTTACAAGTACACTATCGAATATTTTTAATCTACGAAATGATTATGAAATTTTTAAATCCATTTTTCTAACAAAATTTCTAATTATATATTAGAATAATACATCTGAATGGATTATTACCAATAACGAAGGGATCGATGTAGATATTGGCAATTCATTTGCCAAGACTATAAAGTGGAATAAAATTAAAACATTAAATTACGATCATCCTATTTTATCATATATAGTTGATTTTACTGAACTCCAAGAAGAACTTCTTGAGCTTATCGGACCAAAAATTTACGAAAAAATAGCATGTATCCCTAATAGATATACTATAGATCTTCCAGTAAATTTTAGAAATTTATTTCAAAAACTTTATTGTGATCAAAAAAGATGGCAATATGATAATTTTGGGAAAATAAATGATAATGATAGAAAACAGCCCTTCTATATTTTCATGCGAGATGTTTGCAAGCATATGTACCTTATTATATTTAAAAATTGAATTTTAAATTACTTCTAATTTTAAATAACCTTTTATAATTTTTTAATACAGATTTTCTTTGTGGGATGAAGATATTAAAGAAACACATTGCTTAGAAGGCACATGGAGTCGATTAGTTTTAGATTCTATATTAAATAGCATTACGTATAAATTGGGTAAAAACAGTTTTCGTAAATGGTAAATGTTATTTAATTTATATTATTTTATCTATATAAATAGTACAATATATTATTATTGAATTATTAGGAGTGAATCAAGTTCGCTTGCATCTGCTTTTAGAAAAGTAACTTATGCAAGAAAACCAGATTTCTGGCTTCTTGTGGAATCTGCTGGAACTATCCAGGAAATTTTATTTGAAGAAACTTCTGGTGGTCCTTTTGTAAATGATACTGATAAGTTTCATACTGATCGATACAAGCTTTTCCGATTTGGACACGACTCTAAAATAATGATGGTAACAAAGTTGATTTCAGAAAATGCCAAATATTTATTCGATTATAATATATTACAAAAACGACTATGTGACATAAATTTATTTCTTATTCAAGCATATAGTACGTTTAAATTTAATAAAATGATAGTTAATGTGACTACGTGAAATTAACTATATCCTAATTTATTCCATGTCGAAAGGTACAAAGCTTAGAGTCTTCATTATGGATCAGCCAGGGCCTCCATTATGCAGAGTTCGTGAGGTCTTCGATCTCAAAATTCCTTACAAATCAGTGGATGAAGATTCAGTACTTCAATTCATTCACAGCTTATGGATGATAAGACTAGGTCTAGAAGAATCAGTAAATGAGCTAGAAAATATTGGTAGAGAAATTCAAGTAAAATATCAAGGTCCTTTGAAGAATTTTATTGTACCGGTGCCTAATTTAGAATACTTAACCTTTCCATCTCCTTAGTAATAGACTATTTTTATTATTGCATAGATTTTATATATTGAAATGTCCCATTAGTTATACTGATCAATATGTAATTAGATATTTGGACATTATTTTTGAGCAAAATTTTCGCGTAATTATATGAAACAAAGTAAATGAGCCTTCAAGATTCTTTTTACGCATTATGTAAAGTCTTTTCTTTGAATAGAAAATTTGTTGTACTATACAATGACAGTAGGATTCTTAGTACATTTTTATACGAAACAAAGAAAATAATTAATGTCAAAGTTCACTTTGTTATTGTAAAAGTTCGTTTGTACTATCTAATTCTTAGTGTATTTTTTCGTGAATACAATTAGCATACTAATACGAATATGTGTCACTTCTCAATGATCCAAAGATATAAGTCTTCTTATTATCACTATTAAGGTCTATATAAAATTTTTTGACTAATTTATTATTTTTGCAACTTGAGATTGATAAAATATATAAGATTAATTGATGAAACAAAGAAAATAAGTGAATAGATATAGTATAAATTAAATGGTAAGAGAAGGCATATGAACATTACGGCGCATTTGTAAACTACCCCAAAATCCGAAAAAGCTTGACTACCTATAGTAAGTCATTTAATTTGACTTCATAATTTGTCCCCAATCCAAATACTCGATTACTAAATTATTATTTAAAACTAAATCCCAAAATTTTTTTCACCCCAGTTTATGGCAACATAACGTCTAACCCATCTTCCCACCATTCAACCCATTCTCCTACTATATCTGCCTAATTTCCTTAATTCCGCAAATGCGCCGTAATGATATATTAAAAATATAAATAAATATAGCTTAAATATAACCATGAACCAAATAAAAATAATTTATTTGAAATTTATAGATCATCTAATATTACTATGAATTATTTGTCTTCAAATCAATAAGGCTATTTTATTTATTAAAGCATATTAAATTTATTTACAAGATTAGACGAGCCTGCTAATACAAAAATGATTAAGATTTATTTAACAGGTATGTGCTTTCCGGAATTCGAAACTCATGGATTTAATCGATCAACCATAGCTAAAATAAATATTCAACTATTATCGATCGATTAGAATAGCTATGCTTGCATAACTATGGCCTCATCTATTAATTTGGAGTCCACAGCTATTGCACCTAAACTCTTTACCCCTTTTTAATATACCCACAACGGCTGCATGTTTTACTCGTATATGCTTCTGACACAGATGTTATTACAATCTTGTTAAATTCCTCCATTTTAGAAATCAATCGCTTTCTATCAAAATCCAAGAAGACTTCTACATATAATTCTAAATTTTTGGAAATTTCTAAAAAATTTTAAACTAAATATTATTATTAATTATAAAAATTAAATTATTAAATTTAAAATTAACAAATTTTTTTATACAGTAAATATTATTATATTTAGTAATTTTATGAATATTTTTTTAAAAAATCTAAAATTTTCAGAATATATGTAATTTTTCATGCTGAACAAATTTTACTTGATATTTATATTTGGTTTACTATATAAAAAATTAAGTTTTATATATACTAAAAATTAAAATTTATATTTATATTAAAATCATATTAAAAACAGATAAATCATACCAATAAAAAAATCTAAAAAAAAATTTAAATTAAATTATTTTAAAAAGTACTGCATAGAATTTTGTAATTTTTTTTTTTATTTAAAAGCTTTAGATTTAAATAATATTTTTTATAATTTTTAGCTTTATATCTTGTTTATTTATCTCAATATAAATTTTCAAAAGAGTGTTCACAATACACTAGTAGCCCCCTGTATTAGAAAGAGCCTTAAACCTAGCATGTGCCCAACTCATCATTTTTCGAACTGTCTTGTTATTAATTTTTCTTTTTTGTCGATGACACATTCGTGTGCTATCAAATGTTGGTATCACAATTATATTAAAAGTACGAGCTAACCATAATGCAGCTTTTTTGTGTATCTCATCTATCAAGGTTTGAATTCGTTTCCTTATATGTGCTTGAGCACGTTTCATTGAGTTGCGTTTTTTTGCTGGCGCTTTAATAGTATGTGAAACAAGACCATCAAGGGCAAGACCTAGACGAAAAATACGGCTAATGTCATTATCACCAATATTTCCATGTCCAATTGTTGGTGAATACCAAGTAAGAAAAGTTCAGACTCCAGAATCTATAGCCACAACATGAATATAATCTGCTTGGTTTTCGCAGATATCTTTTTCATAAACCCAGATAAATGTCTATTGTCTTAATTTTTTGTTATATAATAATCTCGAATCTAACATTACTTTTCCTTTTAGATTTGGCCATCCATTATTTTTTCGTTGGTGTTCATGATGAAGTGGGGGCTTTATATCATTAGGTTTATAATGTGGATGCTTAGAACTCGAGTAAGGTGCTTATTATGTAGGAAACGAAGATAAAAACGAAGTGGTTCATGATAATATTGTGCTCGGATAGATATAGTTTGCTGCTCATTCTACTCAATCATATAAAATCATATAAAAATTAATGATAAAATAGTATAACAGTAATTATTTGGTGATTGACCTTGACTTCACCGTTCAAGATTGCACCGTATAACTTCATCATGAGCCAAAATAGCACTCGTAATAGAATGATCAAGTACTTCATAAGGAACTTTTTCCATAAAATCCTATTCTTTTGTTGTTCGAATTCGGTGTTTGAGGAGAATGCAAAAAAAATTGTTTATTCATGCGATGATTACGTCTATAATTTGCAACCACCATATTATAAACAAGTCGTGCACAGCCCATCTATTGTTTTAATTATATATGACAGAAAATATAAGGTTCATAATCAACATCAATTTCGTAATCGTTTTCATCTACATAATCATTATGCTCTATGAATTGAATAAATTCACTATGAATAAAAATCAAAATTAATTAAATAATATACACACACATATCATACTTCATATCATTAAAATTCATCAAGCATAAAGTTACGTTTTTGAATATTTCTTTACATAATCTTTATGAATATAAAATTTTGAACCTTTAGCGTTGATGGTTGTAAAATAAAGTAAATAAGGTCGCATTTTTGATTTTTTGATATAGAGTGGATTCAATTTTGAATTCTGAATATTATAAGAACGCGAAAATATGGCTTTAGATATAGCAAATAAATCATTATGTATTTATACAGGATACAATTGGTTCACGTGGACTTTTTACTGTATATACTGGTTTGACTATATATTTTTATTATAGAAACGAATAGAGTTAATACTGTACCAATATATAATTTTTGCAAATACTAATTTTGATAATATACAGTATATTTTACAGTTGTAATTTAACGACGAAAGATAACTTATTCTGTATATAGATAAGATATGTAATATATTATATATTTTATTTTAATGCAGTATCACACTGTTTTTTTAAGCATCATGGGCATTTAGTGTTAGAATATATTATGATATATACGTTGCATAAATAATTTTTTAGTCATATTTCAGTATTTACATTAGTACATTAGCCGTTAAATAAACTATTGATAATTCCGGTTTATCTTATTATTCACTGCCTCCTACATCTGATGTTATATTTATATTAATATAATTAAAATTAGTCCCATATATTTGTGAAATATAATAGCATATATATATATATTGTCACTAATATTATATGCTTTGGTTAAAAGCCTTTTTTTGTATTGTAAATACTGAATTACAACTATTTAGCGAATTGCGATTTTAATTGTAATTATTCTTATTAAAAACTAACCTTAAGGTCATGGCTTTTACTTATAAAAAAAATCAGTGTTATTATTGCAAAGAATTGGGTCACATATTTGCCAATTCCTTGTCAAAAAAATCAATAAATAAAAATTCTGAACATTTGCTTTTTGCAGAAGCGTTGAAGTTTTATAAGGTATAATATAAATATAATATATATTATATAATAAATTATATTTAAATATTCTATTTGACCAATTTGACCAGTACAGATCCTTTGATCAGACCGGTCAAATTGGTCAAATTGGTCTGGTCCAATAGTCAAACTGATCTGGTCCAGGGACCTGCAAAAATTTGGATCCAAAATTTTCCAAATTTTTGTACTCAGTTCAAATGTTTCCAAATTTTAGCCTTGATATCCAAATTCTGGCCAAATTTTTGATGATTTTTCAGGTTTCATGTGATCTAACCAATAAAAATTAATTATTTAGGGATCCAGAATTACGAACCAAAAATTTAAGATTCGTAATTGAATGAGGTTTTTTTCACCTTTCGCTGTTATACAAAAATCGTGTTATTTGATTAATTACACGTATTAGTGCCTTTCTAACGAAAAATTATCCAAATATTTCCAAATTTTATGCCTTTTGCCCAAATTTTATCCAAATATTTTCAAGTTTTACACTTTTAGCCCAAATTTCATCCAAATTTTAGTCAATACCCAAATAAATTTTTATAATTTGATATCCAAATTTTATGCAGATCCCTGGTCGGTCTTGTCAAGCCAATACTAGTAAATTACATATGTATTGGTCAAATAAAATAAATTTTTCTATGGTCAGATTGATGAGAATCAAAACAGCGTAAATTACCATATTGGTCAATAAATATAAATTTTTCTATTGGTCAGATTTTTCTTTTGAGAGATTACATTTTGCTATCTAACGCAATTAGAGAATTTTTTTGGTTTTTTTCATTAGTATTTTTCTTAAGTGTACTCAATAAAATAAGAGATGTGTTAATATCGTTATTTAAAGCCCAATAAGATCACATGATTCTGCGGACCCATGGGCAGAGATCTCATAGTCGGACATTCGTTTGATTGGCTAATGTAAATCAATTGCCCGGGTAACTTATTTATACACTTTAAAGTACTTTTTGGGAACGTAACGTTTCACTAATAAAAAATCACTACAAAAGTCATTTTTCACTTCGAAAGAACGTTTATATTCACTATACAAAAATAATCAAAAATAATCAGTAACCCCGAGAACTTTACTTAGAAGACAAAGTATGCTTACTATTTATTGGACCATATTGTAGAGTGAAGGTAACTGGAAACGTTTTCGTCTAAAGCTATTTTATTACGTTAGATTTAGATAAACTTTTACTTTTAACTGTTTAATTTGAATAGGTACAAGCTCTTAGTAGTAGAAGATCTGGGCTTAATATTTAAATTTGGCCGGTTCTTGTAGTGTGTTTGGGCTTGTCAACTGTATATTAATAGTGTATTTATGTATTGTACGTAAGATCTTGTACGCAGATTCTTTAATGAATTTGTGTTTATTAATAATAAATATCACACTTACCTACTTTATGCATATCTATCAATTCTCTAAATATAAGTAATTCGTTCTTTTGTATGTATTTATTAGTTTGTAAGCTTCTTTATTCAAGCTTACTTTATCCAAATATTCTTAACTTATGTTGCAAGAATTGTAAATCCTCTTTATGGCACATTTGGTTGGACCGCTACGTATCTAATCAGGGCATTCACTGTCTAAAAGATGTCGAGGACCATTTATCCAATTGCGGAATAAATGGTGCTAAACGCGCCTCTTACAATATATTTCACATGTTCAAAATTTCTGAATGGAATGAATTCAAGGCAACCTACTCCATCATTTGAAAATAACTGCGTTTGTTGTATCATACGATCAACTTTTGTATTACCGCTAGTCCATTCTGAAAATTTTCGGTTGAGAGCTGAAATTTCACCATTGATATCTGCTACATGACTCCAGACATTCAACACGCGAACCGAATCTGCTTAAAAATGAAGTTTCAACAACTTGAAATGCCATTTAAAATTTTACCCATTTTTTTATCATTTCGAATCCACTTTTTATATGAAATGATAAGGGTGCTTGAAACTTGTTTGTTCCAAAAAAATACATGTGGATGCACAAATTTTCGCGGATGATCCTAATGTTTCAGGAAATTAATTGTTTCGTTCGTAAATAACTTTTACATTCACAGAATCACTGGTTTATAGTACCTTAGTATAAATGCTGTCATAAATGTAAGGCGTCTGTCAATTCGAATAGACCAATGATATCATTTCCCAAGAGACTATAAAACTCAATTAAGATCTGATCCTCGTGTTTAATATATTTAATTATTCATGCTTAATTATTATATGTATTTTTAATCATGTATTATTAATCATTTATTATATTTTTAATCGAAACATAGCAAAACAAAGATTCTTTTTTTGATGCACATTAACGTAATTCCGAAATTTTTTTGTCGGCGTATTTTGTGCAGCAAAACAAAAAACGCCCGTGATTGCTATTTTAAGGTCTGTCAACCAATTAGTAGGTTCTATTACATTTTTAAGTATCGTGCCGGTACATACAAACCAATTACTAATTACAGCTGTTTTCATAAACTCTGGGACACCCTAAAAAAATTTTCCGAAGTCTATTCGCCCGAAGTCGATAAGTTATCGATTTCGGGAATAATAAGATTCAGTAACAGATAATGTCACGTAATTTAATAAAATCTCGCGACCAATATATATTACAATACAGCAGTAAGACTAAAATCGATATTCATTGGCATGATCCATTTTCGCTCAAATGAAGCCTT